CGAATTTGTATATTTAAGGGATTTCAAATAAATGGGATAAAAATACCTCCCAACGATCTTTCCTTCAGGCGAGACCGCTGGTCGGTTTTTGAAGGGACCATATTTTCTTTTTAGAACCTAAAACAAAAGGTCTTCCCTTACTGGTTTCCCTTTGCACATTTACTTTTCCTTGGTTTTATTTTCTATCTATTTACATTATCTAAAATTTTCTCACTAAGTAGAGGAAAACAGCCTGAAACCCTAAACCTAAACCTATGTTTAATTATGCAATAAATAAATAACGGTAATAAAACTCTAACAATAATAACAATGTTTAGGACTTAATAATTAGAATAAATAGAATAAATGGGGACTTGTTCATTTAAGCGTATTTGAGGCAAAGTCTTTTAGTGCTCCAAAAGATTTGATATCACAGACTAGCTTTTGGAGATTAGGCGGCCATTCTGCTGAGGTGATGGTCTTTCGCAAACGTTCTCTTTCTGCCTTGAATTTTATACAGCTGAAGAGTTTATGTTCGGCGTCATCTTCAGTGCTGCAAACGGAGCATAAAGGGCTTTCTCTTTTCTTATATTTATGAAGATAGCTTGCGAAGTTTCCATGTCCTGATAGCATTTGGGTGGTCCAGTAGTCGGGGTGTAGCCATTTTGCTATTTGTCTTTTTTCAACTCTTGGGAAAAATTGGATGTTAGCCGACCTTTATTGCTATTTGTCCATCTTTCTTGCCATGATGCCCTTGTCATTTTCCCCAAGTACTCTTTTGCCTCCTTCACCGTTGTGCTTCGGAACCAGTCTATTTCTCCCTGGCTTGCTCCTATATCAATAGCCTCATTTTTCTTTTTTTGGTGGATGATCACCCTTTCTTTAAGGACTAGGTCTATTTGCTATTACTTGTAGGGCATGTGTTGAAATCGTCCTGTACCCTTTTGTGGTTCTTTTAAGAGCTATTCGTTGGCTTTGCTCTATTGTAGCTTTGCTTTTGCTAGGTAGTCGTTTGGCCCATCCGGCTGCACCATAACTTGTTGTTGGGAGGAAGACACTTTTATAGATTGTGGAGAGCGCTTTTGTCCTAAGTCCATATTCCACTCTCGCTATTACGCTCAATCTATTGTACACCCTTCTTGTCATTTCCCTTATTTTAATAGCGTGGTGTACTGGGTTCAGGTTATCGCCTAATATTACTCCCAAGTACTTGACTTGATCGCTTGGCTTCACTCGTTTTCCCTCTATCCGGATGTATGGGGGGTACCCACTTTCCCTTTGAGCATTAGGGTTTGGCACTTTTCGGGGGCTACCTTTAGCTTCGCAAGCTCACACCATTTTACAATTAACTCGCCAACTAATAACTGTAAATAAACGTGAAAGTACTGTTAAAACATTTAAAAAAGCAAACATGCTGAAAGGTACCTTATAAAGTAGTAACTTAACTTATTTAAGTCTATGGATTACAAAAAAATTATATCCCATATTAGAAAACTAAATTCCACATTTTTTATGGTGAGGTGAGGTAAGTAAGTTCCATAGGAATCAAACGAATCACTGCATTCGTCTGTGAAATTGACTACTATTTTTTTGAGAAAAAAATATTTTTTAGCCCCTTTTTCCAATAATTGGTCAGTTCATCATATTTGCATAATGAATGGACTGTTGTATTCAGCGCTATTTAATGAATTTTTTGGACTGAGGAGGAGAGAAAAACTCTCTAATTTTTCGAAATTAAACATTGGTCAAGAAATTCCAAGAGCCACTCCTGGAATGTACCAAAAGCAGGATTGGTGAAGGATGGGAAAACGATGTAACAAACAACTTTACTTCCGTTTTCTCAAGTTCTATTAAGACAGTTTATTGCGGTTGTGGGCGTACTTTCGGATATCTAAATTTGACTAATAACTTAAAAAATTGTATGAGAATAGACCATAAATAATCTCTTTTCTAGCGTGAAGGTTTAAGTTAATAAACTAAAAGCTGAAGCCACGGAATGGCTAACTTCGATTTTGGTGAAGTAGTAAAAGACTCTCGCCGTGATATCATCCCATTATTTAAGAAGGATCGATTTCTTAATTACAAGGAAACGATTACTTTAAAAATTAAGCAGAAACGAAGGAAAATACGATAGATGGTTTAGTTCATTCGCTAAATCCTTGGAGTGATAATGAATAAAAGGCTGGATAAATGAAAAAAAATTGAGAATAAGATGTCATGTTGATCTAATCAGCACTTGATCACTTCACAGGGCCCGTATACTATCTGTGCTTCATGTTTCATTTAAACTTATTCCAGCTTCACGCCTTCTTCACTAATTAACGGAAACGTAAATGAGTGAAAGTATATGAATCAAGTAAAAAGATGAAGTTGTATTCAGTTCAACCGTCATCGAATAAAATTTCCATTAATCGGGTGGTTTGTAAAAAATAACTTGGAATTTGGATGAAAATAAATTATTTTTATTTAAACGTCTTGGAGAAAAATTAACTAAGTATTATAATTTATAACAGTACTCACTTAATAATGAGATAATTAGCATTGTAAACAAAAGGACAGAATAGTAACCAAATGTATTTGTTATTTTGCAAGGAACACGTCTAGCCCATGAGTTTCTCACAACGACATATATTTCTCACATTTCCATGATAAGATTCCCGAGTCCGCAATTATTCGGCGCACAACTGAATGCGTAGTCACGCCTACAGATGAAATCATTTGCCAGATAAGGATTGCAAGAAGAGAGTCACGTTTTCTAATCGGCCGAGTCCGATTTTGGAATGTGAAAATATGAGAACTATCTTTAATCAGAATTTACTGTCAACTGACTAAAATTTAATTTCAAAATTGCCCATTTAACAGCACCCCAGGCCGATTGTTGCACACGGTAATGAACGCCCGGTCCTGTATAATAAACTAATAAACTTAAAGCAGTCGCCCGCTAGTGGATTAAGTACGTTTAAGTGCACACTGTATGGAAATCTAATTACCTAAATGACTTGGCCTAATCTTGAGTCTGTAAATCCTCTCGAGATCGGACTATTGCAATCCAAGCCTTACTTATTGCAACCAATAGAAACTTGTTAACTAATGTTCATGCTTAAGTCGGTATCGTCATTTGAAATAATTAAAGGAATTAACTAATGACAGTGCGGTGGACGTTATTTGAGTGGGCTGCTGATTAAGGAACATACGGTCCGCATTAAACAGGATTGTCGTTGGCCAGCTATTATGGCCTCCATAATACTTTCCGGGAAATTGATCAAGTCCCAATCTCCCCTTCAAAAAAATATTCAATCCTTTGAGATCATTTTTCAAATGTCCCATTGTACGACTGACAACCTTTGTCAATATGGAATCCGATCTAAACATTGTACAGACCCTCCCATCTAATTAGGATCAGTTTTAATAATTGAAGAATACTGATTGTCAAAACACGGAAATATAAATTTTTCAAAAATGTTTTAGTTCTTCGCAGAAGCGTGAAGAAGCAAGAAAACAACGAGACGAACCCAGTAATGATCAGTGTCGATCAGTCCAGAATGAGTTCATCCACTCGCAGAACAACAACCACCACCAATTTTAAATTCTCTGTGAAGTTTTACAAATCATTCAAATAGTTTTCATTTTTGAAAATTAATATGATAAAATGAAAAGATCTTTTTATAAGACCTCAAACATTATGCTGAACCGGCATTGGGCCGCTACTTGGGTCGCTACCCGGTCGCGGGTGAGTTGGACTACTCAAAATTGTTCTTCAAAGTTCTTTACTGAAGAGAGCGAAATGTCGAAGCGCGTTTGCTTAGTCCAACAAACCCGCGAGTGAAAACGGGCCGATTGCCGGTTCAGCTTGAATTAACCGACTCGCAGACCAACACTCAGCATTAACATCAGATATTAGATTATACTTTTACTGACAGTTACAAGTTCTATACCTTATTTTACAATTGTTTTGAACAAATGGAACGATTTATCAACTTGCTAACAAAATTGATTTTGCCATCTTTACCAGAGCCTTCGGGAAAAATGTATCATATCTTTTTGCAGACTCTTTGCAGGATAACATTTCATTTTACATAACTTCTTAACAATTTGAATCCATGTATAAACTGCAGTTAATAAACAGAAAACTACAGTTATACATCATTTTTTGAAAAATCCTTCAGAAAAAGTGTGCTAGAATTTTGTACAGAAACTCGTTTGGAACTTTATATTATAGATCATCTGTATAATTGAAACATTAATTCAAAAGTGTTCACTTTTGGCAAGCTTAACAATTACTACATAAATATTAATTATTATAATCCTTCATTCTTTTATACTAATTTTTTTACAAGCGATATGCAAAAATTGTTACGATTTTATAAATTTTCCAAATAATTCATTTTAAACTTAACCAGCCAAGCCTAGGATTGAGGTAGGAGGGACAAGAAAGGGTCAGTAATAATGGAACGTTGATGGATGAGTTTATCCATAAGAAAACTGACATTTTTTTTCAAAACACCTTTCATAAACATTGCCATTGTCAAGAAATATTATCAAAACATATTTTTAACACGGGAAAATCATTATTTTTATTTATAATGCTTTCAATTTGGATTTTTATGAGGACAATGTACAATGGAATGAATATATTGTTTGAATTGTTTTAGACCATAAAAATAATTGCTTCCAGTCCCTAACTCGAATTTCAAAACGTCCAGAATATTTTTAATTTTCCGATTTCGTGTTAACTTTGTTAGAAATTTGATATAAACTAAAAACTTTTTTCAAGGAAAATAAGCTGGGATATCGTCGTAATATAATTTTAATATTATTAAAAAATAATTAAATTGATGTTTTCAAACAAGGTTTTTCATTTTAAAATTCAAGAAGTGAAGTTAATACGTGTTGAATACGCTATTATAGCTCATTTAATTTTAATGAAATGAAGTATTCCATCCCCGTTTTTCAGCGCTATCCGGCAATGCATTCTTAAGGAGCTTCATTGTAATGAGAATCCAAACAATTGAAAACCTTACCTCGCAATTCGAGTGGCTTATGTTGCTCAAGTTAAGCCGGTAGACTCGGTCCCTGAAAAAGAAGAGAAAAAAGAAAGTTAGAAGAAATTAAAGTACTGGAAAGAACTCGCAAGACAAAGTTTGGTTTGAGTTAAAAGCCCGTGAAAGCTGGCGCTTCACTTCAGTGTAAAGTTGAGGCTGCATTTGATGGTATTACCGCCGCGTAGATATAATATGTATTTGTTCAATATCTGTATAAATATATAAGAAAAAGGTTTGCAGTTGAAAGTTGGCTATCGAACCGTATCGAGATGGTTTTTTCAGATTTTTGTTTATTTTAGCATTATAAAAATCGCTCTAGGGTTGTTTGCTGGAAAAATAAGAAGGTATCGGTTTATCGATGCGTCAAGAATCTAGCCCGGGCGAGGAAAATGGGAAATTTCGTGGAAGATTGAGTTGTGGTGACAGGTCTAAGTCAATGTTAAGGAGTATTGATAGAGTCCCCCTCGCTGTCGGAAACAGTGCCCGGCTCTGTTGTTATCCCTGGATAGATTTATTCCCTTCCCCTCTTCTCCGTGCTACGTGCTCCATTCGACAAAGGTTGCCGAATAAAAGCAAGTTATTTATTCCTTCACACGTAAACCAAAGAGAAAGAGTTATAGTCTTCTTCTTTCCGCTGGCCCCTTCTTTTATACTACCGGGCGCACACAGGGGACAGTATCAGTATAAATACGCAGTCTTACCCCCACACACAGAAAAACCGACCTGGAAAGTTACTACCAATACCTTTCAAACGGTTCTGTGTATATAACATAAAATATAAAATCTCTAGCACTCCAGACTAAGCTACCTAGGAAAATATGGTATAGGATAATTGAACAGTATTCAAAAACTAAAACTTTCTGCTAATTTTGTTTTCTTCTTTGTTCGGGCTGTTTTATTTTTTTATTAATTTATTTATTTACTTAATTTAGGATGTGTACATGTCCCAAATGAAGTAAATAAAACATTCTGACTTTTAAGAAATTCAAGCCAGTCAAGTTTAAGAGTGAAGTGAAAAATAAGCCGTTGGTTTAAAAAAAAACATTTTCTTTATCGTCCCAACGTTTCGATCTTTATTGAGATCATCTTCAGGACCTTGTGTTGTCTGAATTACAACAAAAACGGTCTCTGATTGACAGCCGATGCAGGTTTCTTCTCATTGTAGAGTATTCTAAAGGACATCGCCAACAATGAGAAGAAACTTGCATCGGCTATCAATCAGAGAACTTTTTTGTTGAAATGCAGACATCACAAGGCCCTGAAGATGCTCTCAATAAAAATCGAAACTTTTTTTTATCTCAAACAATACCTTTCATAAATATTAATTAATTGAAAATTGTTAATTTGGTGTTAATCGGACCACGAACTGTAATGGGTTTAATAATTAAACTGAATTATATCTTCACGAAAGCCCTCCGTGGCCATTTCATTTGTCGCCGAGAATCAAATAGATTACACGACATTTAAAAAATGGCAAAAAGGAGGGAAAATACGAGAGGTGAGGTTGAGATGGAGAGTTAGTGTTCGAGCGGACGTAAGTAACGATAGCTCAAGTTGGTAGAGCAACGGCGTATTCAGCCGAAGGTCGTGGGTTCGAATCCCGCTCGTGTCACTGACTTTTTTATCTCAACCAATACCTTTCATAAATATTGAAAAATGTTAATTGGTCAATCGGACCCCGAACTGTAATGGATTTAAAAATAGAAACGTTGTTGCGATAAAGAAAATGTTTTTCTAAAACCTACGTCCCACCAGACCCATCTCACGATCTTTAAATAATAATGAAAAAAAGAGTTAATACGCCTATATTTAAAGCAAAATTAAAAAGTACTTAAACTATAAATAATAACCAATTAATAAAAATAATTCAAACAAGAAAAAAATATTAGGGTAGGGTTTGAATACAGCAAACAGATAAGAAATTGTTGAACAACAAAGAGCGGCCTTTTCAATGCATTTGAAAGGTGGTTTTAATTAATTAATCCAATTAATACAAGTCTCGCAGTTGGTATCGCGAATGCAAACTGCCATGACTATTCGGTTAATTTATTCTACGACCGCCGCTTCGGGTCGTTTTTAATACAAACACAACATTATGTAGCCACGAATAGAGAGCATTTATCGCAGATCTATCGATCCGACGAAATTTTACCTATTAAGATTAATTAAGCGATAAGGAGATTTTACGAGCCCTGTGCCTTTCTTTCGTATCAATCAAAATCATTTTTAGCTAGGGGCAATAAGGTTCTATTGTATAGTTAGCAGTCATGCATTTTCGCAAGCCCAATACCAAAGGTCTCTCGACCCGGACAACATTTCCCGGTGGTTTATTCAAGTTCAAATTGTCTTTGCAAGTTTGCTTAAAAAAGAGTCTTTGTAAAATATTAACGTTCTTTTTAAAACATTTTAAGGGTATTCACGATCTACGTGTTAGCCCTGTTATGTCTGTTAGGTCCTGTTAGATCGAGAAAAATGATGACGTAGATTTGTAAGTATGGGCTAGTTAGCATTGCTTGATCTAACAGGCCAGGGCCAATGTTAGATGTTAGTGATTATTTGGAGATCGTGAGATGCGGTCTGGAGTGACGTAGGTTTTAGAACAACATTTTCTTCTTGGCAACAACTTGGCAAAAAGCGGGGTTTACCAACTCATTAATGATTGTGATATTAAATATGTAGGACAACGCGGTATAGAAATAAAAACAAGAGTAAAAATGCCTAAATCGAGCAAATTTTCGGAATTTAAGGACCATCTAAAAGAAACAAAACATAATTTCAACTCAAATCTAAATACAAGAGTGTTACATAGTTTCAACAAAGGGAAAGAATTAGATTGGTTTAAGAAATTTGAAATTAAAAAATGTAAAATTGAACATGGTGATAAATGCATTAATAATATAACAGATCTACCTCCCATTTTAAATATGTACATAAATAATATCAAACATCCAATATTTAAACTAATTATTTTAATTGTTATTATTTTTATAGTAATTTAATAATATTAAATATTTACTAGTATAATATTTATTTGCGTTATAATTTCCGCGTTTCGCACGTTGAAATTGAGCGCCATTAAAAAAATCAGCTGTTCATTGGAACGTCGCGTTGGCGGAGGTATCAGCGGGTTCATTTTGGCAATTCATGTCGAGAGACGTGGTTGTAAAAGTCCTTCAACCTGATGATGAGCTAAAAAAGGCTCGAAATCCGGATGTTGCAAAACAACTTACTGTGAGTAGGAACTATCTTTTTAAAAAGGATTCAACATTTTCTTTATCTTGCGAACGCTCCGCCCGGAAGATGATCTCAATATAGATCGAAACGTGGCACCATAAAGAAAATGTTTTCTAGAACCTACGTCACACCAGACCGCATCTCACGATATCCAAATAATCATTAACTAACGATCACTAAACAACACACACGTTAGATGTTAGGGTCGAAAATGTAGTCACATTGCTATCCGTTAGGTCGGAGGTAACCATTGTTTAAATACGCATTAATTAAATCAGACCAATAGGTTTCTTTTGTTAATTTCTGACCTGCCCTTATACTCTCATTCAAAATAGATACTTCCCCGACCTGAAGCGTGTCATTTGTTTTTCGAGTGTATATGTAGCATTTTGAATGAAGGAGTTGATTAATTTTCCTTCTTTTACTAACTTCTGGCATCTTACAATTTAACACAAAATATAACCAAAACGAACAATAACAAGCTCAAGGACTGTTAAAGCTTTATTTTTCGTTCTACCAATCGCCAGGCGCAGCATTGCGGAAAAATTAACGTTTAACATGCTAAAAGAAGATGGGGGTGTTTATGATCTTACTGGACATTTTTCTATTCGAGTTGATTTTATAGATGGAAACGTAATGAAGCAATAAGTCGTCATGGAAATTGAAAAGAGAAGTTGTTCAACCGACTCGAATTTAATAAGGATAAGAGGAAGAAAAATATTGCGAGGTAAATAAACATCATAAATAAAGAATTTAAACAAAGTCCATCCGGGGCAATAAGCGTAAATTTTTCGGAAAATCCCCATTTTCACGGCTGTACTTCCCAAGGGAAAAATAACACCTCTTCCGAGTAGCCTTATAAATAATACGTGCCTTGAGGTCGGGATGTAATACGGGAAATTTTTCATTACTTTTATGTATTTTTCCACGCCTCGCTCGGTTATTAAAAGATACACTCGCGGTGACATTATTTTAGAAAAATGTCAAATACCATAGAATGGGATTGCGGCTAAGCAAACAAGGAATGCTTTATTTAAGAAAAGAGCATTTACGTTGGAATGTCACTCCATTAAGTCTAAACAAGAATTTAAGCGCTAAATGAAGGGATTCATCATCTGGAATTCATTCCGACAGGTACGCTAAAACTGGAATGGCTGAAGAACCTCCTGTCTATTAAAGAATTGGGATTCCATTGTCCCCTTCGAAAGCACTTGGAAATGAAAACGCATTCCGGCCATGAATTAACGCCATATTTTTCTCTAATTAACGGATTTGACTGCCGAAATTAGAAAACGCACGGTGTTATTTGTGATTTGAGACGAAACGAGGTGAAACGTTTTTTCCACCTCGGAAGGGCGTTAATATTAAATCGAGCTTTTAATCACCCAAATGGAGGTAACCAACGTCTGCCCCCTCGACGGTTCCACATCAAGCCGTCAAATATTCAGCAGACGAGGAACATATTTCGTTTGAGAAGCACGAGAGCGTTTCGTACATAACTACTGACTGATTCGCCCCTTTTTACTGATACGACATTGCATACGAACCCCTGAAACTCATCCAATGCCGTCTTGGATTTAGTTACATTGTCTACAACTGGGGGTAACACAATTCTACGCCTCAAGAGTCACGTCTTGGTCGGCTTGAAGGCACTAATGTCGGAGTTTACAGAGGCATTCAATTAGATAAGAAGCTTTACACCGAGGAAAGCATAGCCGGAGTCCTTCGTCCTACTCACATCGGTATGTAAGGGCGTATGTTAAATTGTAATGTAGGATTGTAAGCTCCCGCATGCTG